GACGGTATGAATTTGTCACACGATTTTGCTTTACATTGAGGTAATTCACCAATGGTATCACTGAAACTGCTACCTCCTTGAACTTGGCAAACACAACTTAATTGTTCAGGATTCTCATGTATTCTTGAATCTATATTAAAAAAAACAGATTAAATTGGAGCATAAAAAGAATTAAACTTAAAAAAATATCAAATATCGAATAGTATCTTTTTTTTGAAAGGATATCAAATAGCATCTTAAGATGAGATATTACCATTTGTAATATTTGACAATGGTAGAACTCTAGATCCTTTAAAATTCCGACCAGACGCAATCTCATTAGACGACTCAAAAGGAAAAGTATCCCCAATTCGCCTGTGCTTAAGTTGGCCACCTTCCAAATTTTCTATAATTTGATAGTTAAATATATGCAATCAAAATTAATAGAGACCCAAACTAATACAAATTGTTTCCTAAAACTTTCAAAAAACCAATCTGTAGATAAGGAACAAATGCTTTAAGATCAGAATATAAAAAACAATAACAGCAACAATTCTGATCCATTTAATTACATAACAGGCCACGTTATAAAAAAAAATTATTTAGCCCACCACAAACTCTACATGACAAAACTCAGTATTACTTTCAATAGAAATCTTCTATATTCTTCACCCCAGTCGGTTCAAGATGACTTAATCACCAAGTAGTTTGAAATAGACATGGCGAACTAATTTTGGACCTTAGCCGACATTCATCTCAGAAATCGACAACACTTCTGTAGATTCTAGATTACTTGCACCAGCACCGAAGTTCATTTGACATGAACAGCGAGAGCATATGCAAACAAAATAGTACTTAGCATCAAAAGATCACCACCCAATTTTCACCGGTAATATCGACTCTTAGGTTTTCTACTTAAAGAGTGCGTACCTTTCCCAGATTGCTCATAAATGATCCTCTTCCCAAAAAGAATTGCAGATTTGGTCAACTTCTTCATAACTGGATTTCTGGTTTTGCAAGAAGATGTCCGGCCAAAACACTAATAAGCATATATATGAGTGAAATAACTGGTACCTTAGTTGCTTCGGAATACGAAAAGCTGAGAACCGAGAAGTTGTCTCCAGCCGCCCTAATTGTTAACTGCTCAGGTTCCAAATTTACTTTTCATGGGAATATGAAACAACAATCTCTATTAGTTAATACTTATCATAACACCCCACACGTGTAGCCCATTAATATCTCTGATTATGTCGGTAATTTTTCTGTTTGAAAACAATACACATGAAAATTGTTAAAAAAGAAATTTTATATTTGAATCCTTAAAAACTGTTTTATATTTTTAATGTGTTTTATCTAGTTCTATTTATTTTCAAAGTTTTCTTTATATTACTACATATTTATTATCACTATTTATTGTTTTATTATTTTTTTTTAAAAAAAAGTTTTAACTTTTCATTTTGTTGCTAGCTATATTTTTATAAATTGAAATACTTTATGTTATATTTCCTGTAATTTACGGAGTATAAGGTAAAATATGATTATCTTATTAAGTTATGATAAAGGTAGAAATGTAGAATAAGAAGATAGACTATACTTTAGTCCTATTTTAGGAAGATAAATAACATAGTCTTATTTGTGCATTTAGGAATTAGTTTAGTCCCATTTTGGTGCTATTTTATCAAAATCAAATTATTGGTGGAATAAAGTTAAGAAAAGGAAAAAAGAAATAAATAAGTGTACGTAAAAAAAAGTAAAGTAAAAAGTTGGATTATTACCGAATTATTGGAAGGTGAGACTATTGTAAGAACACCGCTAAAAGGTTGAATTATTAGTTTCCATTTTCCCTTATTACTATTATTACTATTATTATTATTATTATTATTATTATTATTATTATTACTATTATTATTATTATTATTATTATTATTATTATTATTATTATTATTATTATTATTATTATTATTATTATTATTATTATTATTTCTTAAAACCAAAAAGTTCATTAGTAGAATTTTAGAATATGAAATCTGACTCCTCTGTATATATTATTGAAAACCACATATCACCTGGGGCGGAAATCATATATATTTTTGCAATGGGCTTTAAAATAATGGATCTGTTTAAGTAGCTTATGATAATTAATGTCATCCATCAAACTAAAATTAGCAGGCACCATTAAAGCAAAAAATTAAATCAAATATATTTTAAGTGTATTTCATTGATGGATCTGTTTAAGTAATGAGTCTGTTTAAGTAGCTTCTGATGATTAATGTCATCCATCCAAGAACTTTTATTTTCCTTTTTAAGTATCACCTACTATAAATAACTCATTGGGCATAAGTAATTTAGTTTTCTTATCATCAGCATTTTCTCTATCAGCATTATTGCCAACGAATAGAGACTACAGCTTAATTTCCAAAACTTCTCTTCTTATAAATGTATTTCAGCTTTTATGCACTCAATTATATTTGAATTTTTTAAGCGAAAAACCTATGGGGTGTTCCTATTACACTCAAAATTACAAAACTAATGACCAATATACATATTACGGAGTATTACTAATAATATACTAATAATATAAGCCAAAAGATTTTGGCAAATAAGCTGAGGAAGAAAGTAATGAGGTGATACATAAATTCAGGAAAAAAAACTCATTTTACTCAGGAAAAAAGTAATGAACTGATACATAAATTTCAGATACATAGCAAACTCTATATTTTGCTTTTATACTACAGGGTTGCTTTAAAATAACCTCATATGAACTCTACATTTAACAAAAATCATCTAAACAACATCTAGCTGCTATGTAGGAACCCAATGCAATTGTGTTGTACATCCCATCAACTCCTCACAACGAACTTCACTGCTGGACAGAGTATTATTGCGAAGCATTTTCAAAGCATTTAATGTTTTGTTTTTAAATGTATTTTTTGTTGAGATAGATTGCCCGGATGATGAAGGTAATTAGCTTTCACTTAATTTTTTTTGACACTTCGTATTCCAATGGTCTGCCATTTCGGCTTTACGTTTTCCGAAGAGTTGGTTCACGCTGGAATGATTAATTGTTTGGGGGAAAGAGATTTGTGTCTTTAGGTTTACTTAATGCACTTAGGGGGTTCCTATTTATACCCTGAGGCTCCTGCGTAAGTGATATCAATGTCCTGGAAATTTCACAAGTTCTTTTTCTTCAGTTCGTATTTAAAATGGTTGGGATGTGGAGTTTGATTAGGGATATCAACCAGAGTAAGTCCAGTTGGGCTGTGAAGGTTCGTGCAGTGCGTGTATACAGAGTTCCACCAAGTGATAAGTATAGGGAGTCTTTGGAATGCATATTTCATGATGCCGAGGTTCGCAAGTGTGTTTCTATGTGTTTTTCATTTCAATTATCTTTCTGTATTTGACTGGAACTAATTTTTTGGTTTATTTTGTAGGGTACAAGGGTGCATGCTCATGTTGCTGAGAGAAATTTGATTGACAAGTTCCACAACTTATTCACTGAAGGGCATCTCTATGCCATTAAAAAAAAATTTGTTCAGGAAAATTACATGGCTTTTAAAACAACAACAAACATCTTCAAGTGGGAGTTTTTTTTATAAGACAGAAGCATTTGAAATTCCCGGGGATGAATTTCCACCTATGATCTATGATTTCACATCCTTTGCATTTTTGCAAGGGCAGGATATAGTAGATGAAACTGTTGCTTTTGGTATGTTTATGATTCGTTTTTTTAGTAGAAATTGTGTTGGTGTTTTTGACGCAAGGATGTTTATTTCGTTTTTGAAATTTTTATATGGCAGATATCATTGGTAGGGCTGCGAGCAAAGGTTATGTCAAGTTCAGGGGTGGGAAGAGGTTGATGGAGATACCCATATGTGATGAGAAGTAAGAATGCATGTTCGTTAATCAAAATTGTGTTTCATCCAACGTTTAATGGTTGGTTTAATGTAAATAATATTTTTACAGTAACAATTGCATCACTGCTACGCTGTGGGGAGATCTGATTGATAGATATTCTGATTACGAAAGAGAAAACAAAGATATTATCATCGTCTTACAGTGCTGTCGTTGTAAGAAATTTCAGGGTGCGTTGATATCTTTTTATTCATCTTTAAAATCTATATTTACAGTGAGGCTTGCAAATTTAATGTTTGCTTTTGTAGGACGTGTTTATGCTCACAACGTTCACAATGTTACGAAAATGTTGTTAAATGGTAATAGCGAAGATGTTGTTGCTTTTAGATCTAGGTAAGCTCAAAATTATTATCTTCCATTGGTTATCATTTTTTGGATTTTTTTTTTTTTTGAAAAATAAATAACTGTTTTGTAGGTTGCCACCTCGGGAAGGCGATGCTACAGGGACACAAACTTTGTCATCCCATACTGCTTTTGAGGCGGAGATAAGCACTGGAAATGTTCAGCTAATGACCATACATGATTTGCTAGGCATGGAGGAGGTAATTTTTGGGTTTGTTGTCAGGCACTGGGTTTATTATGTGGTTATATTATGTGAGTTTTGTTTCCAGAATGGTAAGCACTGGGTTCTGGCTGAGATAGTTGCGATTGATGACAATAAAGAGTGGTGCTATATTGCTTGCAAGAGTTGTAATAGAAAGGCTACTACAAGTGGTGAAACATTTGTGTGTGTTTCGTGTAATTGTAATGATGTGTTGCTTAGGTATGTTTCCTCAGATGATAGGTTTATTCAACTACTGTTGTTAGATTATTATATTCTTATTTTCAATTACTTTCAGTTTTCAAAAGTTCATTTAAATTGTTGGTCTTCAGATATAAAGTTAGTGTTCGAGTTATGGATTCATCTGGCTTCACTACGTTTGTTCTCTGGGATAAGCAATGTGTCAGATTGATTGGAAAGACAGCTGCTGATTTAAAGGGTGCGGTGAATGTCAGGGTATGAGACTCCAAAAAATTGTTTATAAGTTATACTTTTATTATAGTAAATAATGGAAATGTTAAGAAAACTTATAATGAGTGTTTTCCCAGGCTGCTGATGGACATTTTCCATACCCTGAAGAGGTTGGAAATTTGGTAGGGTCTTTGTTATTGTTTAGGGTGCAATCAAAACGAGATGGAAATGTTTTCAAGGGAAAGAAATCATTCAGTGTGATTGACTTTAATGATGATCAGGATGTTGTGTCTCTTTACACTTCAAAGGATGGTTCAAATGAGGTTTGTGTTCAGATCTATGTATGTGGTATTTACATTCAGATTAGATTCAAATGAGGTTTGTGATTATTAATGGTCATCATTTTTTGTTAGGTATTGGATGAATTTGCTGAGCTTCGAAGGCAAATTTATGACAGTGAGACGGTATGATTGTTTTTAATTTAATAATTAATGTGTTATGGCAAACTCTATTTAAAGTAATAATTAAGTATCAGTTTTAAGTATTTACATATTAAACTTATTAAACTTATTTCAGATTGGCTCATCGGAACAAGAAGTTGACAGTCCAGTGCCGAGTTCAAGTAAAAAGGAAGTGATTGTTGTTGAAGGAGATAGCGTCAGAAGGTGTTTAATGGGAGATCTATCAGTTTCTGGCCCTTCAAAGAAGTTTAAAGCTGTTATTAAGACAGAGAAGGACTAAATATCTTTGTGGTTACTTGGGCAACACAGACTTTTATTTTGCTTAATGCTTGATTGAACAATTACTTTTTGTTTGGAGATCACTTCTGATCTTCATGACTCTGTAATTCTGTTTTAGGTTTTATGTTTGTGATGGATGCTTTGTGTGTGGGATGTTGTTGAGATGCATGTTTTGTTGGTTTAAGCTTCTAATCGTTTTTTGCTTAATTTAGATATGCATTTTTTATTGCTCTGTCTTTTAATTTAAATATTAGTTTAGAATAGATTGCTCATATTTTAGGGTGCATTGATGGAGTGTTTTGAATGTTGAGGTACGTTTACTAACTTTTTCATAAGCTTTAAATGTTTTCTTGCCATAATGGTTTACTAACTTCTGCTATGTTTTTTTTGCAGTGAAGTTCGTTGTGAGGAGTTGATGGGATGTACAACACAATTGCATTGGGTTCCTACATAGCAGCTAGATGTTGTTTAGATGATTTTTGTTAAATGTAGAGTTCATATGAGGTTATTTTAAAGCAACCCTGTAGTATAAAAGCAAAATATAGAGTTTGCTATGTATCTGAAATTTATGTATCAGTTCATTACTTTTTTCCTGAGTAAAATGAGTTTTTTTCCCTGAATTTATGTATCACCTCATTACTTTCTTCCTCAGCTTATTTGCCAAAATCTTTTGGCTTATATTATTAGTATATTATTAGTAATACTCCGTAATATGTATATTGGTCATTAGTTTTGTAATTTTGAGTGTAATAGGAACACCCCATAGGTTTTTCGCTTAAAAAATTCAAATATAATTGAGTGCATAAAAGCTGAAATACATTTATAAGAAGAGAAGTTTTGGAAATTAAGTTGTAGTCTCTATTCGTTGGCAATAATGCTGATAGAGAAAATGCTGATGATAAGAAAACTAAATTACTTATGCCCAATGAGTTACTTATAGTAGGTGATACTTAAAAAGGAAAATAAAAGTTCTTGGATGGATGACATTAATCATCAGAAGCTACTTAAACAGACTCATTACTTAAACAGATCCATCAATCAAATATACTTAAAATATATTTGATTTAATTTTTTGCTTTAATGGTGCCTGCTAATTTTAGTTTGATGGATGACATTAATTATCATAAGCTACTTAAACAGATCCATTATTTTAAAGCCCATTGCAAAAATATATATGATTTCCGCCCCAGGTGATATGTGGTTTTCAATAATATATACAGAGGAGTCAGATTTCATATTCTAAAATTCTACTAATGAACTTTTTGGTTTTAAGAAATAATAATAATAATAGTAATAATAATAATAATAATAATAATAATAATAATAATAATAATAATAGTAATAATAGTAATAAGGGAAAATGGAAACTAATAATTCAACCTTTTAGCGGTGTTCTTACAATAGTCTCACCTTCCAATAATTCAGTAATAATCCAACTTTTTACTTTACTTTTTTTTACGTACACTTATTTATTTCTTTTTTCCTTTTCTTAACTTTATTCCACCAATAATTTGATTTTGATAAAATAGCACCAAAATGGGACTAAACTAATCCCTAAATGCACAAATAAGACTATGTTATTTATCTTCCTAAAATAGGACTAAAGTATAGTCTATCTTCTTATTCTACATTTCTACCTTTATCATAACTTAATAAGATAATCATATTTTACCTTATACTCCGTAAATTACAGGAAATATAACATAAAGTATTTCAATTTATAAAAATATAGCTAGCAACAAAATGAAAAGTTAAAACTTTTTTTTTAAAAAAAATAATAAAACAATAAATAGTGATAATAAATATGTAGTAATATAAAGAAAACTTTGAAAATAAATAGAACTAGATAAAACACATTAAAAATATAAAACAGTTTTTAAGGATTCAAATATAAAATTTCTTTTTTAACAATTTTCATGTGTATTGTTTTCAAACAGAAAAATTACCGACATAATCAGAGATATTAATGGGCTACACGTGTGGGGTGTTATGATAAGTATTAACTAATAGAGATTGTTGTTTCATATTCCCATGAAAAGTAAATTTGGAACCTGAGCAGTTAACAATTAGGGCGGCTGGAGACAACTTCTCGGTTCTCAGCTTTTCGTATTCCGAAGCAACTAAGGTACCAGTTATTTCACTCATATATATGCTTATTAGTGTTTTGGCCGGACATCTTCTTGCAAAACCAGAAATCCAGTTATGAAGAAGTTGACCAAATCTGCAATTCTTTTTGGGAAGAGGATCATTTATGAGCAATCTGGGAAAGGTACGCACTCTTTAAGTAGAAAACCTAAGAGTCGATATTACCGGTGAAAATTGGGTGGTGATCTTTTGATGCTAAGTACTATTTTGTTTGCATATGCTCTCGCTGTTCATGTCAAATGAACTTCGGTGCTGGTGCAAGTAATCTAGAATCTACAGAAGTGTTGTCGATTTCTGAGATGAATGGCGGCTAAGGTCAAAAATTAGTTCGCCATGTCAATCCTACAAATTTGTAAATTTGCAAAAAATTTACACGTCCTACAAAAGCAAACATTAAATTTGCAAGCCTCACTGTAAATATAGATTTTAAAGATGAATAAAAAGATATCAACGCACCCTGAAATTTCTTACAACGACAGCACTGTAAGACGATGATAATATCTTTGTTTTCTCTTTCGTAATCAGAATATCTATCAATCAGATCTCCCCACAGCGTAGCAGTGATGCGATTGTTACTGTAAAAATATTATTTACATTAAACCAACCATTAAACGTTGGATGAAACACAATTTTGATTAACGAACATGCATTCTTACTTCTCATCACATATGGGTATCTCCATCAACCTCTTCCCACCCCTGAACTTGACATAACCTTTGCTCGCAGCCCTACCAATGATATCTGCCATATAAAAATTTCAAAAACGAAATAAACATCCTTGCGTCAAAAACACCAACACAATTTCTACTAAAAAACGAATCATAAACGTACCAAAAGCAACAGTTTCATCTACTATATCCTGCCCTTGCAAAAATGCAAAGGATGTGAAATCATAGATCATAGGTGGAAATTCATCCCCGGGAATTTCAAATGCTTCTGTCTTATAAAAAAAACTCCCACTTGAAGATGTTTGTTGTTGTTTTAAAAGCCATGTAATTTTCCTGAACAAATTTTTTTTTAATGGCATAGAGATGCCCTTCAGTGAATAAGTTGTGGAACTTGTCAATCAAATTTCTCTTAGCAACATGAGCATGCACCCTTGTACCCTACAAAATAAACCAAAAAATTAGTTCCAGTCAAATACAGAAAGATAATTGAAATGAAAAACACATAGAAACACACTTGCGAACCTCGGCATCATGAAATATGCATTCCAAAGACTCCCTATACTTATCACTTGGTGGAACTCTGTATACACGCACTGCACGAACCTTCACAGCCCAACTGGACTTACTCTGGTTGATATCCCTAATCAAACTCCACATCCCAACCATTTTAAATACGAACTGAAGAAAAAGAACTTGTGAAATTTCCAGGACATTGTTATCACTTACGCAGGAGCCTCAGGGTATAAATAGGAACCCCCTAAGTGCATTAAGTAAACCTAAAGACACAAATCTCTTTCCCCCAAACAATTAATCATTCCAGCGTGAACCAACTCTTCGGAAAACGTAAAGCCGAAATGGCAGACCATTGGAATACGAAGTGTCAAAAAAAATTAAGTGAAAGCTAATTACCTTCATCATCCGGGCAATCTATCTCAACAAAAAATACATTTAAAAACAAAACATTAAATGCTTTGAAAATGCTTCGCAATAATACTCTGTCCAGAACATTCCATCGGAACATCCATGCCAAGATAGACTTTTCCGTAACAAATAAGCCAGGTCTTTGGCGGGAACTTCCTCCCCAAGATTCCTTTTCTTATTATATTAAGATAGATATCCAAGTCTGGTCTGGTCTGAATTGGTCTGGTCTGGTCTGGACTGGTCTGGGGCAAATTACAGTCCAAGTAAAAACATCCTGAGACATAATGTAGCGATTGTCAGATAGAACCATGCGAGACGGACTGGGTAAAAAACATTTGGACTGTGCAAATAATTAATGGTGTTGTGTTTAGTAAATAAATACCCCATATATTGAAAAAATTAGAGCCCGTTCGATAATTTTAAAACAGGTTGAACTGACTGAATATGATGAAATTGATGAATTTATAGTGAAGTAAATGAAGGCTAAATCTAATTTAAAAAACTTATATTTATAACATATTTTATTAATAGATTAAACAAAAATATATGAAAATGTGTAAAAAGCATGTCTTATTCATTAGTTTCAGCCAATTCAGTCATAGAAGTAACACCTATCCTACTTATTTTTATCATTACATAGTTTATTGTGATAAATAAATTGACTGATTAGACTGTAAGTAAACATGTTGATAAGTGAAAGCATTAAAAATAAAAAGTATTGATAAGCAACACTAATGATACCTCAAGTAGTTTTGCAATAAATGTGTTATAGTCAGAAGTTTTCCCAAATGTGCATGCAATTTTTTTTTTGTATTGTAATGTTTTCAGTTTTTTAAATAAATACTACATCCGTCCCATTAAGATTGAGACAAGAGAATGTGGCACGATTATTATGAAAAATGAGTTTGTGTGGTTAATATTAAATTGATAAAGTAAGAATAAAATAAGAATGGTTTAGAGAGCCACACAAAATTTACCAAATTTGATATGAGACAACCTTAGTGGGACTTCCCATAAAGATAAAATGAGACAATCTTAGCAGGACGGAGAGAGTAACTTATAAATGATTCTTTCTCTCATATCATACACGTATTTCAATATGCATGTATAATTTGTAAAATATAAAACATATTGTTATCCTGCGTATCACACGCGTACAATACTAGTTAGATTTAGAAGTATGCAACATATAAGTTTATTGGGTTATAATGTTAATAAGGATAACACAAACAACTCTCCGTTGTAGTCTAGTTGGTTAGGATACTCGGCTCTCACCCGAGAGACCCGGGTTCGATTCCCGGCAACGGAAATTAATTTTTCGTACTATGAATTTTTTCGCTCCAAATATCACTAGTAATCTAATGGGTAGGATAACGGCGCTTTGTTTTGTCTCACGGCTGACCAGTTGCAGTTCATCGCCACATCCTCTCTCTCTCTAGGTTTTGCAAACTCTGAGCGAACAAAAAAGCAGCGAAAATGGAGAAGCAAGGCAGAGGAAGGAGCAAGAGGAGAGGATTGGAGGAGAACACGATGGCGATTCTCGACACCTCCGGCTTCAACCGGGACTCTCGCCACCGTAACGATGACCGTACGGTCTTCTATTCTGTTTCCTTTTACTCTGGCATATAGATGCCGCACCTAATGTGAAATACATCTTTAGTTTTTGTTTTTGTTTTTATTTCAGGGCTTGCTTTTCTGGAAGCTGTCCGCTCAGCTTCTCTAGTTCCGGATGATGCAATTGCTCCTACTAAGTATGCATATTATCTTTTTATTCTTGTCATATAATCATGGGAAGGTTCTCGAAATAGGACTAAAACAATTTGAAAATTTCAAAATAGTATTGTCATGTTTTTATTCCCAAAATAGGAGTAATTACTCTCTAAGTTTGAAAAATACTGTCATGTTTGAAGTCTGGTACTGCCAAAACATGACAGTGATTAGTCCTATTTTGGGAATAAAAACATGTCAGTCCTATTTTGGAAATTTTAAACCTTTTTAGTCCTATTTCGGGTAATATTATCTATAATCATTGTAGCCTTGAAGACACACAAAAATTGCCTTTTATTTTTAGTGCACATTTTGGGTCTTACACCGTACTTTGTAAAAGTATAAGTGGCTCTGTGATTTTGTCCCATTTAAAATTTCATTTGGGATGGGAGAAACTATATTTATCCCAAGCCCAAACATATTACTCTCTCCGTCTCATTTTACTTGTCTTTATCTTCTTTTTTGGTTGTGTCGAAATAAGTATGACATTTCCTTTTAGGGGTAATTTGAGTTTGCACCCCATATTACTGTCTAAATTGGAGTTTGCACCCCGTTTTAAAAAATCTTTGTTTTTGCACCCCAACCCCATATGAAAAGACAAATATGCCCCTACATTAACAATTATGTTGATCATCAACATATTCTTGATTGAGGGCATTTTTGTCTTTTCATATGGGGTTGGGGTGCAAAAACTAAGATTTTTTAAAACGGGGTGCAAAGTCCAATTTAGACAATAATATGGGGCGCAAACTCAAATTACCCATTCCTTTTATGGCAGTATCTTTTTTTTCCCCAAAAGTTTAATACTGATGCCAACCCCACCGTATCTCAAAAGGCAAAAGTCAACCATGTTCTTAGAACTTCGTTTGAGTTTAAACTTTAAATGCTTAGGGTTTAATAAGTAGATTATGATAAAACTAGGCCTTAGGGTTTCTGCTCCTTGTTTGAGGGCGAACTAGCATTGAAAAGCATCATAATGTAATGTTCTGCTAGTTTTTAGTTGTCACACACTACGTGCTAAGAACAGGAGCGTGTTGTTGTTCTAGTCATTTTCAGTATTATAAACACATTTCCCTTTCTTGTGGTCTGACTGTGTTGTTTAGTACTGATGAAAATTAATTAGTTTAATGATTTGGATGGTGTTATTAGATTTTTTAAAAGTTGATATGGCCATGCTCTCTCATTGTTATGTTTCTAATGATGGTGGAAATATTATCAAATAGCTCGTTTTAGTGTACCCAGCATTCAAACATAATCTTGCTTTTCTCGAATCTCGATACAAAAGTCGGTTCTTGTTTTTTTTTAAATGCAATCTTTCAGGCATTTTTGCACACCAGGAAGTATAAAAGGCTTCATGACCAAAGTAGAGCCTTTTTATTCTTCTGTTTGTTTTCTGTAAGGTCATTTTAGTCATTGGATTAATGCCATCCATATAGAAGAACCCCTATTTTACTTTAGCAGTTCAGTTTAAGACTCTATGGAGTTTCTCTACGGAATCCATCAAGGATTAGTTTCAGACTATCAGTTTCATATTTTCTACTTTCAACGATTTAATTGAATTGTTACAGATGTTAAGGTATTCATTGCATGCTAACAGTTTGTGTGTTTGCACAATCGCATCAAGCACACACACACACATACTCCTGAAGTAGGAATCCCAAAATAGCTTGGTATACCAGTATCTTTGATAGTTAGGGTAGCTAATGTTTTGAACTCACTTGATAGAACAATGTTTGGAGCAATTTTTCAAATTCTCAAGGATGAGAGTACATTGGAACTCGTAGTAGCAAGCTATCAACTTTTAAATGAGTTGGATAAGGTAGCTTTTTCTTCCTCTTCTTCCGTTTGGTTTCAATTTTGTTTTTACTGCCTTAGTGCCCACGTTTTCAGTTTAAGACTATTGTAATTTAAGTAACATTCATACTATGAGTATCAATTTTTTTCCCCAGCGTTTTCCTCGGGTGTACTTTCCCAAGATAGATAAATCATATTCATCTCCATCAACTAAATTTCAAGAACTAGTCTTGGTTGAAGAGGTATTATTGTTTGTTTTACGTCTTAACTAGTGATGCATTTGTATATTTTGTCAGTCTTGGATAAAATTTTATTACTTGCAGTTAATTCCCTTTATTGATGTCATCATGACAGATTTGGTCTCCATTTAGTTTTGGTTTGGATAGTGAAAAGGATGAAATGAGTACTGACTCAGGAAGATCAATTAACCCCTTGGTAAGTTAGACTTGCTATATCATCTTTCTTATGACATATGTATATAGAACATGTGCTATACTATTTAGTTCTATGGTTCTACCTTTTAATGCTTAGTTTTTGTTATATATGATTATATTCTGTTGGTATATTGCTCTTTGATGAACTTTGCATTCTGATCTCAGTTATATTATTTTGGCACATAAAACTTATATCTTTTTTGTTTTTATTGTAGGACTTTCATTCTCTGGTGCAAACCATTGGTGAAGTGGTCGAGAAGAAGCCTGAGGCATCAAATATTAAGGTTAAAGTCACTAAAATTGGATTTTATGTGTCTGTCTTTGTTATAAATGTTCTTACAATTAGCTCATGAGATTGTTTGAGAGGTTTGCCTAGCCTCTAATTGTTTTAGTACACCATTGTCATTCATGAAAACCTTCTTGGTTGATATGTTATGGAAAGTACATCACTTTAATTTCTCTATGCTTCGTAGAACCTTCTTGGTGCCTTGGTGGGGTCCAATACAGCCTATATCGTGTGCCCAATGTCAACAATGACATGGACCGATTGTTATTTTCTGTTCCAGTACAATATAATCTGTGTTTTCCGTATTTTCATTTTGATTGTAAGATTCTTTTTTCCATTTTCCGTGTCTATATGACTACTTGTATCATCCCCATCTATTCTTCTGTCAACGAAAACTATCATTAAGTGTAGCTAAGTTGAATTGCAGTGTTCTGATTAATGCTATGGTGAATGTGGTGTATTTCTAATCATCATCAAAATTTAAATATCTGACTTGATTCTATGGCAGGCATTTAGGAACATGTTGTTGTTTCAGTATCTTGTAAATGTTCTTGAAAGAGATATGCTACCTCGTAATGGTGCGTACAAAGGTATACTATTTCTAATTGGTCTATAGCATTATTATTTATTAATTATTATACTACCCCCTGTCCCCAAAAAGAGTAATGTTTGACCAATGTACAACTTTTAGATTCTGGTAAACTTAAACTTCCATAAATCATGATTCCAACTCTTTTCCAATTTTTTTGTTGGTTTAACTAAATTTGTTTTATTATGTCTACCTTGTGATACACATGTTAGACGAGTTGAGAGGTGGGGAGAAAAGTAGGGGGAAGAGAGGGAAAAGAAGACTCAAACAAACGTGGATTAGAGGAGCTAGTAGTGATATGCTACATCTTGGGTTGGAAGAGAGAATGACTTTGGAATGAACGAAGTGGAGGCAACATATTCGGGTGGAGGATTGGTCTCATTTAATCTATTATATCTTTTTTATCTTTCTTATGCTCTTTAACTTTTTTATTTTTATCTTTATCTTTTCCTTTTTTTAATCTTTTTTATCCTTTTATCTTTCTTTTTATATGATCGTTTTATCTTTTACATCCTTTTTAGCTATGATGTCATATGTCGATTCATGTTAGCTGACCCCAAACTCTTTTGAGACTAAGGCTTGGATATTTCTACCTTGTCTGTGACTTTTTTTTTAGGAAATCACCTGCAAAGTCTGTTAGGTTTGAACTCTTCTTTTGGCACTAAAAAACCTGGTTGGAACATGATTTTTTTGGGACAGAGGGAATGCTTTTATAATTCCCAGATGATGCATTTCGAACATGTGGTTGATGTAGTATGTATTTGCATGGCAGAAAGTATGAACTGGAATCTTATGCGGGAGTCGTTGCTCAACATGCTTCTGGTATGCATATTTGTTTTCTAACCAAGTAACCATAATCTATCAACAAATCACGTGTGTGTTTTCTCAGCAATGCCATTTTATTGTTTTCTACCATTAATTTTACAGGGATCTAGAAAAATAGTATATAAAACCTTAATTAAAGACTGCATGTCTGCTGCATGCTATTTGTATCAAGAAATGAACTGCACTCCAAGTATGACAATGGACCATTCTGGAAGTTGCAATGTTGCAGTGGCAATGGCTTTACCTGAAGCTAAACAGTGTGCATGTGTTTCCCTGAATAAACTTCTCTTATTGGTGAGCCCACAAGCTTCTATATATGGTTATGAAATCCCTTAATAGTATTTAATAAGCTCTGATTATTCCTTAACTCAGATTATTGAGCTTGATTCATCAAGGAACTTAGCAGACTCGCAAGGCTTGACCACTAGATCTGATGGTGTAAGGTATTCCCTTTTTTACTTCTTTTACCAGGCAAGGCTTGACCACTCTGATTTTTGTATTGTAAAACAAAATTTGATATTATTTTATTATACATCATTTATCAGCTCATTGCTCTGAAATCCATATGTCTCCTCGAAGGGGCAAAATATAATTTTTTGTTGGTGTTGTAATATAAACTAGAACAATATTGAAGATGGAAAGGATTTTTGTGTGTTTTTCATTGGAGGGTTAAGTCCCTATAAATATACATTACACATATAGAATATTCCTATAAGATTCTATACAATAATAATAATAATATCTTGGAGTATATTCCAAAGCATATTCTAATATCGTTCACCCCTCGCTCTCAAGTTGGGGCATAGATATTTATTATGCCAACTTGTTACATAAATAACCAACTCGAATTCCATTTAGTGCTTTAGTGAACAAATCTCCATGTTGTTCTCTAGTCTTCACATATCCCGCAGAGATCATTCCTTTTTGTATCTTCTCTCAAGCAATCTACCTCAATATGTTTTGTTCTCTCATGAAACACTGGGTTGTTGACTATGCGTATAGTATCTTGGTTATCACACCACAATTTAGCAGGCATTGGTGTCTTCAATCCAATTTCACTCAATAAATGGTTTATCCAAATTATCTCACATGCAAATTGTGCCATAGCACGATATTCTATTCACCACTAGAACGAGTAACCACATTCTGCTTCTTACTTTTCCAGGAGACGAGATTATCGCTAACAAAGACGCAATAGTCAGATGTAGATCTTCGATCATCTTTAGATCCAGCTCAATCAGCATCTACAAAGCATTCTATTCTCACGTGATCATGATTTTGATAAACAATACCTTGTCCCGATGTTCCCTTCCAGTAACATAATATATGCTCTATAGCATTCCAATGCTTCACTATAGGAGATGACATATATTGACTCACTACACTCATTGGGTATGCAATATATGGACAAGTAACTCCGAGATAATTAAGCTTTGAATAAATTTCGCTTTTGATCCTACGAGTTTAAGTCAATTCCACATTTAGTCCACATCTTTGACTTTGTCCACTTTTGATACATGATTGTTGTGTTTTCGCCCATATATGGTCCTTCATTGTTTTCGATGGTTAAAATCGCCGGAAAAGGACCACAAACGGTTAAAAAACATTAGTCAAGTACCAAAAGTGGACAAAATGAAAGATGTGGATTAAAGGTGGAATTGACACAAAACTCGTAGGAACAAAAGTGGAATTAAATTCATTAAACTTTCAACCAATCTTCTATATCTTTCTGGATCTTCGAATGGCATGCCTTCGTGAGTAAGTTGCACATTGTGAATTGTGGGAGTATTGCACGGTTTTCCCTGTTTTAGCTAGCAAGTCAAGTACATATTTAAATTGAGATAGGAATATGTCTTTCTTACTCCATGTTACCTCAATGTTAAGAAGTATTTCAACGAGCCAAAATCTTTCTACTGGAATCGACTATGTGCCAAAACACATACATTATCACTTCCTGTAATCACAATGTCATCAACATACATCACAAGCAATGAGATACCTGCTTTTGTTCGTCTGTAAAAGACAGTGATTTGATTGACCTTTTATCATTCCAAACCATTCAAAGCAAGTTTGACATAATAATCTGAAGACTTGGTTATCTTAACAACTTGGGTCACGGTTTCGTATCTATCTGGCCCACCCACTGGAGCTTAGTTGCTAAGCTCTAAAGAGCTGGGCTATCTGATCCCAATGTCCTTATGAGATAATCAGGATAATTCAAAGAAAAGATAGGTTAGAAGAAAAATGAACTGGGCAAAGACGCTGAGACTCTGGGAGCAATAGTAGGGTTTGATCTGACCTCCAGTTTTGTTCCAAAGCTGACCTGAACAAGTTGCACTGTGAGGTAAAGGAGGCTGAGGCGAGATGTAGAGTGATATCAGTTCGAAATTCCGGCCAATGTACGGTCTACACGCGCCGGCGAGTGAGCCGGCGTCAGAGGCTGACTGAGGCATATTTAGGCGGCGGACTTTGGTGGGTTGGTTGCCGGAGACATTTTCATCTTCTGGGACTGGGGTGAGACGATGGAGAATGGTGGAGGTCTGAGTCCCTTAGTAGTTAGTGCAGATTGCACTAGAGATAGCCAGAGACACTGCAGAGTGCAGATCGTACTGACTACCAGAGTGTAGAGTGCTCAAATACTAATGTTCTGAATAAACTAGCCCAGAATTACACTAAGAATGATAGAGTGCTTTAGAACTGATCTAAAAACTTTGAGTTTGAAGTCGTAAAGACTAAATAATAAGCTGAAAGCTCAAAAGATTCTGAAACTTTTGAAAACCTCTGATACCATGTGGTAATATAAACCAGAATAATATTGAAGATAGAAGGAAAGTCTTTCTGTGTTTTTCATTGGCGGGGTTAAGTCCCTATAAATATACATCACAAAGATAGAATATTCCTATAAGATTCTATACAATAATAACATCCTAGAGTATATTCCTAAAATATTATAAAGAATGTTCTAATATCTTTCACAGTCAGTGCTTATAAAAAGAAGTTTGTTACTGACGATATCATGCAGGACCCCCGTTTCCGAGATTATTCTGGATGAAATAACTTATAATACCGATGCTCTCTCATTTTTTCAGGTTCTTATTTCATACCTATCAGTCACTGTACAGCCCTACTTTCTTTATTGACTAGTTTTCAACACGCGCGTTGCGCGATTGAATAACATATGCCCAATGCATTTTCATTGAGAAGTATGTATATTGTATTTTGATTTAATATGATTACTTTTAGCGTTTGAGATGTTAACACTTGCATCAATTTAAAAATAGAGTATTTAGTGTTCCTTCATAACAAAGAGGACCCAAAAATAAATAAAAATGCAAACGCACAATGGGCTAGCATGTCCAATAATCATTATGATAGTAATACATCTACCCTAGTTTATGTGTCTTGCTTTGATTTGACACAATTATTAACAAAGTAGTTGATAAAGTAAAAGATGTAAGTGAGTTTTGAGCATAATAAAATGAAATATTGTGATAAAAAATATGATATTTTTTTGGAACAACTCATAAAGGAAAATATGACAATTACAATGGGACGGAGAGAGTATCAACTATGGGAGAAGTGTTCACCGCAAAATGAAACAGAGAATGAGCAACTTTCAAATACATTATTTATAAATACCAATGAAAACATAAAAGACAAAAACGATAGAAAGCAAAGAGCAAAAGTACCTCCCCTTTCTTCTTTTTAATCCTTTGCTCGTGTTCCTTAATTCATTTTTTCTTTTTTCTTTGTGAAATTATATTTTTCACAAATCCATAATATTCGTCTAGGTTATTTTGTTTAATAATGTGTATTTCAGAGTTTTTACTTTTACAATAAGGTATGTATCCGGCCATATTTGTTGTGATTTGAGGTTGAGTCATTGAATATAGAAAGAATATTTGGTTACACTGAACTTGGCTGATTCAGCCGAAATTTAGAAAGTTGTAGTCTAATTGGCTTATTCTATTGATTTATGAAAAAAATTTAGTAAAATAAAGAAATAATTATATGAAAATAGTTAAAATGGCCACCTTGAGTAACTTTAGCCAATTACTTCGGAAATAGTTAAAATAGTTATTTTCATTACTATACAATGCAGCATGCGAAACCAAAAGTTACGTTTTTCACGAAAAAATTGACTGATAAAACCGATAACGCAAAAAAAAAGTCACAAAATGGGCTCTAAATCGATAAATTTGATAGCAATCTTTCTTTCAAATACAATAAAAAGATTATTGATTGAATCCTTATCACTTTGTTATGCTCTTATCACTTCATTGAAAATAACTAAAACTTTTAGTGTTTAAAAAAACCGTTTATAGATGATCTAATTCATTAGAATTATGTTACCGATTGTATTTGAGAGAGAATGAATAAAAATTTAGAATGTCATATTAAAAAAAATATAAAAAGCATCATGACATTTACATGCATTAATGCAATCATTAATAATTACACCAAAAAATGCGCAAATTATAAGGTACATCTGGGTGTACATGTACACCCGGTATTTTTGTAATATATATCAACTTTAAACCTGATTCTCTCATCCCTGCTCTATACTCGTTGCTTTTCTTTCTTTCTTTCTTCTGCCGCCATACTCACTCCCCATTGCTTTTATTATTTGGGAGAATTTGACTTTGCACCCCACTTTTTGGGTGATATTGGACTTTGGACCCCATTTTAGAAAACCTTTGACTTTAAACCCTATCAGATAACATTTGGGAAGGAAATTTTCTAAATGGAGTGCAAAGTCAAAGGATTTTGAAGTGAAATGGGGTGCAAAATGATTTTTTTTTAAAAATGGGGTGCAAAGTTCAATATCATCCAAAAAGTGGGGTGCAAAGTCAAATTACCCCTTATTATTTTCAGCCGTCATTCTCTTTGGTCTTTCAGCCGCCATCCCTGTTTTAGATCGTTTTACGTTTTGTGTTGTCTTTTTTTATTCGGATAATTTGAGTTTGCACCCCATTTTTATTGTCCAAATTGGATTTTGCACCCCGTTTTTTAAAATATTTGTTTTTGCACCCCAACCCCATATGAAAAGACAAAAATTCCCCTCCATTAACATTTGTGTTGGTCTTCAATATATTCCTGATTGAGGGCATTTTGATCTTTTGATATGGGGTTGGGGTGCAAAAACAATGATTTTTAAAAACGGGGTGCAAAGTCCAATTTGAACAATAATATGGGGTGCAAAGTCAAATTACCCCTTTTTTATTTTACTTTTTTTCATTACTTTTACTTTAGATAGTTTACTTTCTTTTGTTTTGTCTTCTTTCTTTTCTTCTTTTCGTTTCTTCTATTTCTTGTTTCCTTCTTTCTTTTTCTATATATATTAATACCGAGCTTATTAAAAATGAGCTTTATTTTAAACTCAAATAAGTAAAGCGTCTAAAACAATGAATATACACAAATGAGCATTTGAATTTTTGAAAATTCATTTTGTAAGTTATGTATGTCCATTTAGTACCTTTAATTTGTTATGCTCATTTTAAAATGTTTATCAATACGTATTTCAAAAGTCTCATATTACATTAGATTCACATACAATTTGATTATAGATAGAGACCACAAATCATGATACTCAATCACACGATTCCAATACTCAATAACGGAGGTTCGGTGCTCACTGAAAATGTCTTGATGGTCAAGGAACAAAACTTACAATTTTCATATTAATGCTTATCTTGTAAGTTACATATGCTCATGATTTGTGTAGGTCTAATGCTCATTCAAAATTCATTAATGCTCATTTAATAGAAATCATGATTTCCATCGATCTTAATAGAAGATGTTTGATGCTCAACGATAATGTCGTGATGTTCAACTAACAAATCTTACGACTTACATATCAATGCACATTTTGTAAGTTACGTATGTTCATCTGGTACTCATCTTATATGCTCATTTTCTAAATGTCATATCAATGCATTTTTAAAACTATTATTTTACATTAGATTCACATATTGAAATTCATAGGAGTTGATTATAAATATAATTTAATAAGTTTTTATATAAGAAAAAATAACAAAAAGAAAGTAAATAAGAAGTTATGAAGCAAAGATCATGATTTTGAATATTAGATTCCTAATACTCAACATAATAGGTCTGATGCTCATTAAAAGTTTATTAATGCTCATTCACCAGAAACCGTAATTTTCATCTCAATAACGGAGTTTTGATGCTCAATTAAAATGTTGTGATGTTCAACTAACAAACCTTACGATTTTCATATCAACGTGCATTTTGTAAATTATGTATGCTCATTTGGTACTGATGTGATACTCATTTTTAAAATGTCATATCAATGCATATTTCAAAACTATCATATTACATTAGACTCACATATTGAAATTAATAGGAGTGAATTATGAATACAATTCAATAAGTTTTTATAACCAAAAAATAAGAAAAAGAAAAAAAATTAGAAGATATGAAGCAGAGATCGTGATACTCATTGTTAACCTCCTAATACAGTAATACTTAATACAATAGGCCACATGCTCACCAAAAGTCCAGTATTGCTCATTTAGCGAGAACCATGTTTTTCGCTTAAATTACAAAAATGCCACCGATTTTTTTTGACATGTTTTAGTTATTGGGCTGTCTTCCTAAGGTGGTCCGGGTGTACATACACCCGGGTGTATAAGATAGACACTAAAAAAAACAGTGCGGAAGAATGCTAATATAACTAACATTATGTATTATTATTTGAATAATGATTATGATAAGAAAATACATATGCATTATATAAAAAAACGCACAATATAGCATTCATAGAAAATCCAAGTAATAATAATACATCTTATTAATAAAAACAACTGCCTCTATTTGATGTTGTACATACTTTCCTGCAGCAAGGAAATGAGGCTAAATGCAATGAAGCTAAGGGGTTGAAACGTTTGAATCTTAAGTTCTTAATGGAAGTAGTCAAGTAACGGAAGAAAAGAACAATAAACATATTTGGTACAATGATAGAAGCATAATGTACAAGAGCACATTGCATTGTGTTACACCAACACATTTAACATACCAAAAAGACCCTAACCTTCATTGATGTTTATAATATTTTAGATGATGTTATGCTGTTAATCCCAGTGCCCTAATCCAATATTATGTCAGCATAAATTAGTCACTGGTTGGGCTATTGAGTTCGCATGTACTGATTACAGTGTATCAAAATCCCTACAGATATTTGATGAGCCCGAACAGAAGCTAAAGTTAATTGTGCATTATCTCCAGAAGTACATTCCCAAGGTAAACTGCATCCTAATTAACTATAGTGCTTAATTAACATTTCATGATCTTCTTTCATACTACGTATATTATAGTGAAATGTTTGTACTTTGTACACATTTGTCCTTTGCTCTCTTTACATGCAGAAAGAAATAGATGATTCAGAAAACCCTGGATTGTGGGATAATTTTTTCCAAGGAACAAGTATGTACTAGTGTGTTTTGGTTTCATAGTAATTTTCACCAAGGGAAGTAATTTCACCAAGGGAGACTCACTGTCTGACCTGCAAATGTTTGACATTATGTAAACTGTGATCTATCTTTATAGTTTGAGAAAAGGGTCAAATGAGACCTACTATTATGAAATCGTCACATAAGGTCATGTACTCAATAAAGTGTCATATAAATATGTATACTTATAAAAACAATCAAATGAGTCCTAATGACCTGTTGACAACCTCATAATCTCGGTTTTAGCGTACGTTTGGCTATCTTTTTAAAATAGATTGTAAAGTTGACGTGAAATATTTGGCTAAGATTGGCTTAAATACAAGACAAAAATAATGACACGTAAGCTAAAATCGGGATTAAGAGGTTGTCAACGGGTCGTTTTGACTCATCCTATTGCTTTTTATACGTAGATGTATTTATATGACACTTTATTGAATACATGACCTTATGTGGCGGTTCCGTAATAGTAAAAGGGCTTATTTGACCCTTTTCCCTTATAGTTTTTTCGGTAAACATAGTCCCTCATATGTGGTAACTTAGATGCAATTACCCCCCCTCATTTAAACCACTGCTTACACCATTAAATATTAGAGCTTAGCAACATCATGTTGTCAAGAATGCCCTCAGTAACCTCTAATAATATTAATATGGTGATTTTAACTAGAGGGACTAATTGTAGGGCTGGATTCGGTTCGGTTACCGAACCGAAACACCCAAATGAAAAACCGAACTGATGAATCGGTTCTTAGAAAACAACAAATCGAACCCGAACCAATTAATTTCGGGCACCAATATATTGGTAACCAGAATTTCGGTCTGGTTTTACAACCAAACTGAATAACCAACCATCAATCTTTGACTATAGCTGAAGCTACCTAAATTTGGACTGGCATGCTCACACCTTAATTTTGATTCCTAGAGGAGAGAATATATATAGTGGAAGATGTAGGAGGTAACATCTACTCCCACCAGTGTGGGAAATATTTGTTGGAAGTATGTGAAAAATTGTTTTAAAAAGAACTTGAAGGTAAAAACGTCGCCCAGGGGATTCAAACACAAACACAAGTGGCTAGACAAATTAAAGAGGGTACAAGGTATACTCTACCACCAGGCCATACGGACTTCTATTACCTTGTGTAAACCTTTAGTTATTATATTTAAAACCTTTGAAGATAATAATTATTATTAAAATAATTACTTAATAATACATATCGGTTTGGTTTGATCCAATTTATTTCCTCCAAGAACCGTTTATAAATTGATTAATTTTCGGGTCCCGACTTTCGGGTCCCGTTCATGTCGGTTCAGGTTTTTTTATACTAGGTTCGGGTTTTTTCGGTTCGGTTTTCGGTTCAAAATGCAGCCCTAACTAATTGTATACAACAACAATATCCAAGCCTTAATCCCAAAAGATTTGGGGTCGACTAACATGAATCGATCCATGATATCAGAGCCAAAAGGAGAAGAATAAAAAATAAAGTAAGATAAAATAGATAAGATAAAGATAAATATAAGATAACATTAGCATAAGAACATAAAAACGATAAAAGATAAAAGAGCATTAGAAAGGTACAAAATAAAAATAACATAAGAACTTAGAAAGATAAAGAAGATAAACGATAAAAGAAAATGATAGAGAAAAGACAAAAAAGAGATCAAACGTCCACACGAATGTGTGCCCTCACTTTGCTCTTTTCAAAGTCTGTTTGGGTTTTCCTCTCCCTCTCCTCCCCGCCTCTTCTCCCCACCTCTCAAGTAGTCTACCAGATGCATTACTTGATCTTCTGCGCACATGACCAAACCACCGCAATCGAGACTCATACAGCTTATCTTCAATAGATGTTACTCTCACCTTTTGTTTGATTATCTCATTACTCAAGCGGTCTTTTTTGGTATGTGCATACATCTAATGCAATATACAGATCTCTGTCACACTCATCTTTTGATTGTGACATTGTTTCACCGCCCAACACTCTACGCTATACATTAATGCAAGCCTAATTGCTATTCGGTAAAATTTACCCTTCAATCCAGTCGGCATACCTCGATCGCATATAAATTCTGATGCACTTTTCCATTTCATCCACCCAACTTTGATTAATGCACTAATCAGAGTTTTTTTTCCATAAAAAACTTTGATTTTACGGGATACATCTCCATCTAATTCATCATCCTTCTAGATTATGGAGCCCAAGTAACGGAACATATCACACACCGGTATCTCCTTACCATCAAGAGTAATCCCACTGTTACTACTACTTCTACCTCCACCAAACTTACACTTCATTTACTCAGTCTGAAATCCTTGGTCTCCGATGGTTGTCGCCATACTTCCAACTTTGCTTTAACACCCGATTGTATCTCATCAATGAATACAATATCATCGACAAACATCATGCACCACAGTATATCTTCTTGAATTGACTTCATAAGTTCATCCATGACTATAGCAAATAAGAAAGGAATCAAAGGATTCGCTGCGTATCTTTGGTGCACTCCGATAGTAATTGGGAACTCTGTTGTCCTCCCGAAACGAGTATGGAAACTTGTAGTACAAGCCTCATACATATCCATGATGATTCTGATATACTTACGTGATATGCCTTTTCCAGTTAAGGCTCATCAAAGGATTTCTCGAGGTATCCTATCATATGCCTTTTTTAAGTCAATGAACACTAAATGCATATCTTTTAGTGTCTGTATACTTCTCCATAACTTGTCTAAGAATGTGAATGGCCTCAGTTGTTGAGCGTCTAGACATCAAACCAAACCGATTATCTGAAATTTTCACACTTTTTCGAAGTATTTGCTCAAGAACTCGCTCCCAAAGTTTCACGGTGTGACTCATAAGCTTAATCCATCGATAATTGACACACTATTGTACATCACCCTTATTTCTAAATAAAAGAATGAGAGTACTATTCCGCCAACTCATTGATATTTTGTTGTTTCTCCAAATCATGTTGAATAAACGTGTTAGCCACTCGATGCCTTTCTCTCTCAAACTTCTCCAAGCCTCGATCGGTATGCCATTTGGGCCCACTGCTTTCTTCCTCCCCAGCTTTCTCATATTCTTTGACTTTTGTCGTTTGGATCTTTCTCACAAAGTCCCAGTTTACCATACACCGTGGTATAGTAAGATCATCAATACTTTTCACTTTATTCCCGTTGAACAAGGTATCAAAGTATGACCTCCACCTCTCTTTTATTTTCTCGTCCTTCAGTAGTACTCTTTGATCGACACCCTTCATAGTGCTACGATCAGGAAGGCGAGCAAGTCTGTAAATGTCTTTTTCTCCTTCCTTAGAGTCCAATTTTACATACAATTCCCTATTCACTTTCCCTCTTGTTTCCTTTACGACTTTCTTTGCGTTTCTTCTGGCCTCCTTGTACTCCTCTTTGTTCTCATCGCTCCAACTTTTGTAGCATTCTCTTTTGGGTTTTATTGCTTGTTTCACGTCATCTTTCCACCAAGATGTGTCTTTTTTTGGTGGCAGACATCCTTTAGATTTCTTGAGTATCTTTTTCGCCACTTTGTTAATAATTGACTCCATTGATAAGCAGACATCATCCACATGTGCGTCTTTATCAATACACCATACATTTTCCTCCAACATTTTGTGTGCAAAACTTTGTTGGAGTCCCCCTCTAGCCTCCACCGCTTTATCTTTGACTCCACTTGTACTTTAACCCGCCTTATCTTCTTACCTTGAAAATCAAGCACAAACATCTTATGCTGAAGGACAACACTCTTACTTGGGATAACCTTATAATCAATGTAACTAGTTCTCTAAGTCGTGTGTACTAAAGTAGTCAATTTGAGTACTATTAGCTCCACCTCTATAGGTCATAAGGTGATAGTCTCTTTTCTTGAATCAAATGTTCATTACAGCAAATTCATATATCGAGGCAAAATTCAGAATGTTCTTCCCCCACTTCATTTATTGTGCCAAAACCATGTCAACCATGGAAACTCTCCAGACCATCACGACTTGGGCCCACATACCCGTTGCGGTCGCCTCCTATGACCCGCTTCTCTCTTCTTGGCATTCGTTGCACCTCTTCCTCAAGATCTTCCCAAAATTGTTGAGTGATAGATGCATCCAATCCCACTTGTGGTGCATAGGCACTTACCATGGACATGATCTCATATCTTATTACCAACTTAATGCTCATGATGCGCTCGTTCTTCCTAAAGACTTCCATCACACCCTCAACATAATCACGCGCCACAATAATGCCTACTCCATTTCTATTTTTCTCTCCCCGAATACCACAACTTAAAATCTTTGGGATTAATCTCACGTGTCTTTTCTCCAACCCACTTAGTTTCTTGCACCCACGTTATTCAGATATTCCTCCTCATAACCTCAACTACCTCAGATGATCTTCTCGTAAGAGAGCCAACATTCCACATCCCAAAACGCAATCTAGCACCTTGCCTTCTCTTCTTCACACCACATCGATCCCTACCATGCCCTTGCATATTTGACTCCATCCCCAGGCATTGGAGTGACGTGTGGCTTCCGGGCGATGACCTAGAAACCTTAGCATTCTTATCATCACCTAGGCCTATTAAGTTTATCGCACCATTGCATATTGGACACCACCCCTAGGTGGGAGGGATGATGCATCGCTTACGGCGACGACGTTGCTATAACGATATTCATATTTTGATTCATGTCATGTGACGTGACTAAGTGATATTGTTGGTTGTCACGCTCTTACCACATCATCATCCTCCTTTATCCTTGCTTGGGATAAACATGATACAAAAAATGATCTCATGGCAGAGTTAGAGGAACTAATTGTATCTCTAAAACAAATATACTGGAGGATTGACAGTAACATTTACAGCATGGGATTAAATGTGCAATCTTTCCTTTTCAAAGGGAGCATTCTTTCTTTTTTACTTGTGAGTCTTGGTCTAGGATCTCTCTTTGTGATTAGGCCATTACCATCTACTTTTTTATGGCCCATAAGTCAAACCCCTCCTCTAATGGTTCATCCCAACAATAAGTGGATTCCAGCCTGCATAAGCTCCTCTGTTGTTTTCTTTTGTATCAAGTATTTATATCTTATCATGCAGACTTCTGCTCGCACAAGGTCAAATAATAGCACAACAAATGAGGCAACATTTGAGAGTATTTTGAAGTGCTTTTCAAACGGAAACAGTACAAAAAATATCATAAAGAAAATCAACGGCGAGGTTGCACAGTTGCTTCTAGGACATGCATTTGAGGTAAATTGTTATTTCTTGGACTTCTTTTGTTTCTTTTGGAAGGCATTCAGTGTATGCCTGCCCCCATGCCATTATAATCTGTATCACTATGAGAAAACGTTTTGGTAGATGTATGTTTTAATGAATTTGCTGATAACTTTAGCAAAAATGACAGAATGATATAGTTGGGCTGAATTGTCTAAACACATTTAGAATAAGTTAAAGAAAAATAATCTCTAAAAGATGAGGGTAGAAGTGTCAAGTAAGTTGGTGGTTCCTTTAGTATTAATCTAAGTTATAAAGGTGTTGAAGTCTTTATGGTGCTGGATGGTTCAACAGTTTTCCTCACGAACAAACAATACAATCAGGGTTTGATACCATTTTAGATTTTAAGTTTTGAACAATTCCAACATGCATGTAACAATAAGGTGTGGAAGCCTACGCCTCAACAATAAGTATGCTAAACCAAAAAATGTAGCAAACAAGCTCATATCCTCACTGACAGTTGGTCATGTCTCATTCTAAAATAGGCTTACTTGTCCATGTCAATGCGGTGGTCGCGTGAATGCAATACAGATTTTGGGGAAGGTGTCAAAAACACCACTCTTCCTGAAATCTGCCAGAAAATAATTACTGCTTTTACGTGGATTGAACGAGAAGACAGGTAAGAATTTCAGCCGACTCTGTTTTTGCTCTCCCATTTTTCCAATAACAAAGCATTGTGCAACTTCAATGCAGGGTAAAAGAACTTTCGCAATTTGGTAAAGAAACGCTATTTACTGCAGCAACCATCCTCTCCGCCAACTCATAGGATAGGGATGTACAGGACTGTAGGAGGGAGGGAATGAGGGAGTAGTACTAAATGTGGGTATTATTGCTTTTGATGAGGATTCTGTATGCATTAGAATGAGCAATTGCCTATTGCTTGTTTTTAAAATTTGTAGCATGTGTGTTCCTTCCACACTTCTCCCAAACCTATAGGAGGTAGCAAAATTGGCTCAGGCCTTGTTTTTGGGGTAGGTTCTAGTTCTTCGTTTCAGTTTTTAAAATGAAAATTAAAGTTTTATACTCCCATCCCATTGGATTTTGACAGCTTTTCTTCTTTGTTTGTCCCAAGAACTATGCTGCTTTCGTTTTACTGCTTTCGTTTTAAAGTAATAAATTTGCGGCTCTCCTCTTTTCCTCTGCACAAATTTTAGCCACACAATTTCAAATGTACACCCAAACCAAAGTTGGCAATGTCCAACAGATGGAGGTAGGGGTGGACTTGTTTCGGCGTTTGAGCCCGGTCTGGAACAGGCTCCGACACTGTTTCGGTCTGGACCAGGTTCACTTTGAGGTGTTCTGCGCCCGAGACCGGATCAGACTACCCTAGAGCGGCTCACAGCCCTAGGTTTCTAGTTTTGAGGGCTGAACCAGGCGGTCCCGATTTTGGTTGCAACCTGGATATTTTTTAAATCTTCGACCAACCATAAAGTTGAAAAAATATACTTCGTATAATGGGATCCGGGATTGGAATCGGACCTGCCAGCTACCTAGAACCGGCCCAGACAAAAAAACGGTCCAGACTTGGGCCTATATAATTTTTTTTTTGCCCGGGCAGTCTCAGTCTTGAACCGGGATTGGACCGACCAGGGTCCATCCATAGACAGAGGAGGGTATTAAGGAACCATGAAAATGCATGGGCCTCCTCGATATGTCGATTTTTTCTCAAGCTATACCTAGTCGCAAGAACACTTAAAAAGGGGTTTCTTAAATATTACTCCCTTCTAGTTTACGTTTTTTACTTGCTTTTGGACATCCTAGCAGCCTAGCTAGAGCTACTAATTTCTATTTTTAAAAATATTTAGCATTCTTAAATGTACATTAATTCATAAATATTAAAAATTACACACCTATAAATCATAGTTAACATGAATGATCTCATTGTGTTATATACACATCAAAACTATATTTAAAAATATATTTGAAATATTTTATTTAATTATTGTCTACATAGTTGGGTCATTTTTCAACGTCAAGCCTAATCTGAGACAGAGGTACTATTATATTAAATTGTTACTAGAAAGGTATTAAAATTCAAAAGTCATAATGCAGGGCTCGTTCGGTATAGTTTTGAGTTTTCTGTTTTTGGTTTTTTAAAAACAAAAAACTGTTTTTAGTTTTCTATTCTCAGTTTTTGGAAATCTTTTTGTTTTAGTGCTAATTCATTTTCAGTTTTGTCATTCCAAGAAACAAATAATTATTTTCGTAGTCCATGATAGTCTGATGATGGTCTCGGGAGTGGTTGGAACTTGGAAGTGGTCTGATGGTGGTCCGGTGGTGAACGGTGGTGTCCAGTGGTGGTCCGGTGGTGGCTGGTGGTGGTCCGGTGGTGGCCGGTGGTGGTCCGGTGGTGGCCGGAGGTGGCCGGTGGTGGTGCGGTGGTGGTCCGGTGGTAGGCCGGTGGTGGTCCAATGGTGGTCCGGTGGTGGCCGGTGATGGTCCTGTGGTGGCTGGTGGTGGTCTAGTGGTGGCTGGTGGTGGTCCGATGGTGGCCGGTTGTGTCCCGGTGGTGTCTCGATAGTTGGGTATGGAAGATAAATGATAACAAATTTATAGAAATTATGTTTTGTGGATTTCAGAAATATGTTTTCGTTTTCTAAAAACACTTATAAAGATTATGATTTTGGAAACAAAAACAACTTTTTCCAAACGTGTTTCTATTTTTTCTAAGAAAAAAAAACAGAAACAGAAAAACAGAAACATTACCAAACGCACTCGTAATTACTAATTTATATGTCATTATTGTCGGGGTCATTGTTGCTGTTACCATTGTTGATGTCGATGTTGCTCTTAAGGTTAGAAATTTTTCAATTGTTTTTTTGCTGAAAAGTCAGAACTTGTGAAATTTTTTGGTGACTTTTCTTGTGGTGGCAGTAGGGGTGAGTAGTAGTGTAGGAATCAGAATTATTCAGGAAAATGAGAGTGTTATCCCTACCCTCTCCAACGGCCCCAAGAGGCGTTGGTGGATGCTCCAATGCCCCCTAATGGGTATATTAGGGAGCCAATGGTTAAAAGGGAAAAACGTTGTAGTCATTGGGGGCCAGAGCCCGATCAGAACCAGATGGCTCTGGTCCCTGTTATTTAACTCCAAGATTGGCCCCAGTGGGCATGGTTTTGATCCTGTGAACTGGCCGGTTCCGATTCTGGTTGCGGGCTCACGGACGGTCTGGAACCGTGGATTGGGTGCATGCCTAGCTAAACCACACAAACTGCAAACAAAAGGAGCATGGGATCTAAAACTAAGGACTAAAAATGTTTTGACACATTGGTTATAAACTAAAAATTTCCATTATCCTAAAATATGTATTGCTTTGAATATAAATGAATGTATATTGTGTAAAAATGCACCGGTACAATTTTGTAACCCAAAAAGACTTCCTCTGTTCTTTTTTAGGTGTTGCACTTCACGTTTGTTAACGCACGATTTTGACTATTAGTATATTTAATAATTCCTTAATTGTAAAATTTCAAATAAAATCGCATTTTGAAAATTTAAGATGAGAACAATTCAATATATTTTCTTAGAATTCAAATTTTAATGCATTCTGTTGAAGTTTATTCCTTCAACCTTCAGGCCCAACACGTAAGCCCAAAGATTTCGAGTGGAGTGCGTATGAGTAACTAGCCCAACAGACAGATGATAAGGATCAAGAAACAAATAAGTAGCAAGTAAATGATTAGGTATTATTATCTCTTAATAACTCCCTAATACAATACTTTTCGCTAAGGCTCCGTCGGCCGTTCGTCTTACAAGGCAGTAGAAGTGCTGCGAATAGAATGCTATAGCTAGGGTGCTAAGAATAGAAAGTTGCCAACCCCTTACAATGAAATAAATGCTTCTATTTATACCCGCCAATGGGCAGGTGGCTGTAGTGACGTGGCAGCCTGTGGACCGCTGGTGTCCCAACTACCAAATCTTTAGCATTAAATGCACTTCCCGCCAGAATCTAGGTTTCCCGCCGGATTAGTGGGGACGTTCATCCACCCGGGAAGTGAGTTGGATTGCTCCAAGTGTACCCTTGAGAGATATCGGCTGTTCGTCTCCTGGCCTTGGATGGTATTCGTCATGCGGACTGGGTTTCCCCGATGACTACAGGCTTGTAGTGGGGACGTTCGTCGCCATCCCTGGTGGCCCGTGGTTCTGCTCCTTGTCCCTGCATATACGTTCGTCGGGATGAGCTGCTGGGCCTGAGTCCCCCAACACCAGACGTTCGTCCATCCTCAGGGAACATGGGCCCGTGGGTTGGCCTAGTGTTCTAACTGGACGTTCGTCTAGCAAAATGGGTTAGTGGGCCGGACCTCGGCTTGGGCCCTTAACCCAACACAAGTCCCTCACTTCTGATGTTCTGAGCATGCGCAGGACATAAGGAAGTATGAACCTCCCCGAAGTGGACGTCCGTATCTTGGTACTTGTGTTTATTGCACCTGGTGGAAGCGTACGTTCGTGGTCATGGTGCTTGACAGCCGTTGACGGTTCAGGAAACGAGGTGACGGCTGATGTTGCGGCGGCGCATTTTCCCGAGGAAGTGTCATCATTACGTTTCCATCCCACGCACAGCGCGTGGGCCGGAATACGCTCCTTGCCACGTGTCAGCCCCTCATTCGTTTCTTCATCGGTGTTTCTCCTATAAATGCTGGGTTTTCCCTCTGAATTAGGGTTCCCAATTTCTGCTTTCTTGCTCTCGATTTTCTGCAGCTCTTCAAGTTTCCTGAATCCAAGCTCGGCTAACTCCTTGCTAAGGTAATTTCCACCCCCTGCTTCTTTCCTTTGTCTTGAATTCTTGCCGAGATGGTTTCGATGGAGATCTCATCGAGTTCTGGTTCGGGTTCATCGGGTTCTTCTTCGGGTTCATCGGGTTCTTCTTCGGGCTCCTCCTCTGACTCCGGTTCACGCTCTTCGGGTGAGACTAGCACTTCCGGGAGTTCCGGTTCAGCCTCTACCGTGGGAACGGTCCAGGCCGGGGATGCCCAAGATGTGGTTGCTGTGGTGGTTCCTGGTGAAGAAGGTGCCGACTTGGGGGAGCAAGGGAATATGGCCCTCGATGTTGTGGATCCTGTGGCTGAAGCCGGGGAACAGGAGCCCGCTGGTGAGGACGAGCGTCCAGACGGGTATGACTCTGGGGTTGAGGCTCAGGATGGCTCCGACATCGAAGTATTCGAACTTGGGCTGAAGATAGATGTGGAGAGGCATCTGTGCCCGATCAAGAATGTCTTGTGCCATGAGCAGATCTTCTCGCCGGTGGCCCTCAACAAACTGAAGGTGTTCTTCCCCCCTCCGTCCGTATACAGCCTACGTGGTGCAACCCACGTGATGAGGAGACGCCCAGGGATGATTATGGTGCTTCTGGATTCCATCGAGGCTGGGCTGCGCTTCCCTCTTCATCCGTTCTTCGTGGAATTCTTCTGTTGTTACCAGATAGCCCCCGCACAACTCATGCCGAATTCCTATCGGTGGCTCTCCGCCTTCCTAGTCCGTTGCAAGGACCACGGGGTCACCGCCACTCTGGACTTGTTCCATTATTTCTACCGGCTCACCCCCCAAAATTCTGACGGCTTCCTGAGCATTGCTGCTCGTCCGAAACGGAGGTTGTTCAGCGGAGCACCGAGCTCCATCCACGACTGGAAGAATCGGTTTTTCTTCGTGCGGTACGCGGATGCTCGTCTGCCGTTGCGTTGGAATGGCTATCCGCCCAAGATTGGATCTCCGGAGCTGACCAACGATCTGCAGGAGGACATCAAAAAGATCTCGACGGGCGGCATCCGCCCCTTAGACGACTTCTTAACCTTCGAGGCGCTCGCCGCGGCAGGAATAGGTACCGCCCATGCTCTTGGACATCTCCCCTTCTACGCTCGTCTCGGGGTATTGGGCGGTCCTCTCCTCCGAGGTGATTTTTTACTGACGTTCGTCCATCTAACCCATTTCCTTTGTCTTTTTCAGGTCTTCCCCCAACCCAGGAGCAGATGAATCACGAAAAACTCCTCAAGAATCGGAAGGGGAAGGGCGCCGCGGCCGACGCTGCCCTTGCCAAGGCCAAAACCGTCCAGGCAGCTGACTCCAACTCTTCCGCCTCCCAGGCCGATCGTCGCACCGTGGAGGCGGAGCAGCACCTCATTGCCACGGTGTTGGCACAAGGGTCCCAGGCCCCAGTCCTTGATTCTGGCGTCCCCGAGGTTGTGGCGCCTCTGCAGGCCGTCCATCCCCAGGAGGGGGAGAAAGCGGACAAAAAGTCCAAAAGGCCCAGGGGAACTGGTTCTTCGGCCCTTGAAGGGCAAGGGGTGATCCTCCCCTCTCTCGGACGTCCGGCGCATGACGTTTGGCAGGAGGTTGCCTCTCTGGCCGGCGTGGAGATGCCTCCCCGCACGTCTTCGGAAGCCTCCAATGCGGCCCTGGCCGCCGCTCTTCAGGTAAGATCTCGCTCCGCGCGTGTTGCCTGATCACTTTTATTCTAATGTTTTGAAGTCTCACCTCCCGCATCCGATTTGTAGGTCGGGCTCTCCGTTCTGCAGTCTGAGGCTGCCCGAGATGCCGAGGTCCTCCAGGCGAAGACCAAGGCAGATGCTGCTCTGAAGAAGGCGAGAGAGGCCGCTCGTCTTCAGGAAAAGGAGCTTGCGGCCAAGGATAAAGAATTGCAGGCCGCCCTGAAGGCAGCTCGTGAGTCCTCCGCGAAGCTCGCGGTCCTCGAGAAGGCCGGGTTCAAGCTCGTCCCAGCTCTCCCTGCCCCCAAAGACGAAACCCCTGAATGGCTCGTCGACGATTCTGGGTACCACAACTCCGGGGCCTTCATGATTGCCGCCCAGAGGTACCTTGGGGGCGCCTTTGGTGATGTCTTCGCTGCCGAGCTGCAAAAGCAGGCGCCCAAGGACCGCCTCAAATTCGGGGTCCGAATCCTGGAGAGTGCGCCCCTGGCCGAGAAGTTCCTGTATGATGTCGGGGATAGCTCCTTCGTCATTGGCTTCAACGAGGGGGTGAAAGCCACATTGCCGGTCTTTGCCGCTCTTCAGGGCCCCCGATTTGATCTGGCCGAGCATACCTCAGACCCAGAGCTGATCCGGGCCGTGGGCAAGCTGAGACGGGACGCCCGGCGGGAGGAGGCCAGGGCCAGGGGGGAGGTCCCAGAGCCCCCGTCCCCCGAGCCCGAACCTGAGGAGGAAGAGGAAACCATCCCTGGGGGATCCCGGCCCATTTCTCCAAATTTTGTGTAGTGTAGTTCGTAGTTTATTTGTTTTGATCCTGTACTTATCCGGCCAGTAGAGCCGAAGAATATACAACTCTTTTTTGCCTTATCATTGTCTCTACGCTCGTGAACTCTTTTTATCTCCTTTCTTCGTTGGTAGTTTTTCGTTTTTCCTCGGGGATGTTCATGTCCATAACTTGCCCTCGCGTCCCAAACTTTCGGGATACGAACGTATGCCTGAGAGCACCCCACATATATTCCATCCCCAAATCCGTTCGTCAGAAGGAAGACGTGCGAAGATGCGGCAGTTCTTTCGAATCAGTTGGTGAAGACGCCCGTCTCTTGGCTATTTGCGTAACCGTCCGTGGGGTCGCTCACGTCCACACTCCATTCCTGTTCCTCGATCCATCGGGGTATGAGCGTATGCTTTGGGAGCATCACATATGTAAACCACTCCCCAAGATGCACGGGTTGCGGCCGTAACCCCCCGGAGTACGCTCGTCGGATGCGCTTCCCCGAGCCATGTCTTGATGGGGGAGATCGCCGCTTCCGGAGTAGCGTACCCTTTTGCGCCTGTGCTTAAGCCAGGTACCCGTCTCGGACGTGCGTCTGATGTGAACATGGGACCTTCAGGCACACACACGTCTTCCTGTGAATTTGGCTTGCAGGTTCGTCCTCTGTTTGCCCCTTCGGGGGACGTTCGTGGCATCAAGCCAGATTAATTCGCAGTGACTGTGAGGTGATAACATCGAGGAGCCTTCAATACCGCGGTAGGTACCGGTATCCGGATGCCACGTGTTCCACCGTGATTGGCGCAGCCTCGCGGTGCTGCCTATAAGTACCCAAGGCCTTGTGAAACCTCCATTTGCTCCATTTCTCGCTCTTGTGCTGCACAATCATTTCCTCTCTCTAGCTTCCTTTGGTATCGCTTCCGACTTCAGCATCTGTAGGTACCGAACGTCGTCATGTCTCTGTCCATATCAGGGTCCCAAACTATTGATAGGTTTGACGATGGGTGCTCCTCTGGTGATGACCTAGAGTTCTATGAGCGGGGTATGCCACCGTGGCCCCCCCGTCATCACCTGAATTTCTCTTGCGTTCGTCGCCAGCGCCAGCGTCTCTTGAACGCCGATCGTCGGTTGATAAGCCAATGGTTCCTTCCCCCAAGGGGTTACGACGATCGGATTCTGCGCAACCCAATGCGCCATTTGCCCGGCTACGTGGTGGTCCACTTGGACTCTGTCATAGCCGGCCTCCTGTTTCCCCTCCACAGCTTCCACATAGAGCTTTTTAGGGACCTCCGGGTGATACCCGCTCAGTTCGTCCCTGCTGCTTATAGGATCATCGCGGGTTTTATAATTAGATGTCACAGCGTTGACGTGACCCCCACCGTGGACCTGCTGCAACATTTCTTCCGGCTATCTCCTTTCGGACGTACGGGGTATTTAACCCTGATCGCGCGTCCGTCCATGGTCCTGTTTTCTAACAACGCCGGGAATCCGGACGGCTGGGAGGAGCGGTTCTTCCTTGCCGAAGTGGGCTCCCCGATGCCATTCTCCGATAGGTGGAACGCCTATCCGGTGAAGTCCATCCCGCCGCCCATGACGGATGAGGAGCTCGGCTATGCCAAGCGCATAGCTGGTCTTGGCGTTCAGAACCTCCGGTCGCTGGTGGCCGAGCCTTTCAAGGCCCGGGCCGGGCTAGGTGCGTCTATTTGTACTTGCATTGTCCTGTCATCTTCTAGTTGTTACGATTCTGAACGTCTTGATTTTCTTCCTGCAGGAGTATTCCCAACTATATCATCCATGGGGCGCAATCATATTATTTCGCATGCCCGTGGCCGCGACAACAGGCATGAGGATAAGGGCAGGAAGCCGCTCGTCCCCAAAATTGAGCCTCGGACGAGCAGGAGGCGGTCAGATGACGCACCAGAGGACGGGGCTTCGAAGAGGCTCCGCATTGATGGTACCGCCTCCAAAGCCATCATAGTGGCTGATGACTCCGACGGTGAGCCGGGGAGTCCCCTGAAGCGGAGGCCCTCCTCCCGGAACAAGCCCCCTGTCTCCCCTCCGGCCAATTCTGAGGTCCGTCGACTTAGGGATGAAGATGTCCCTGCTTCCAAGGGTTCTGACGATGCTCGTCCCCCTTCGCCCCCAGAAACCAACGGGTCCTCCCTTGGCCTTATCGAATTCTCGGGGGTTGGCCCTCGTAAGGAATCGATGATGCTCTTCGGCCAGACCGCATCTTCAATCTGGTGTGGCCTTAACCTCAAGGTCCCCCAGGATTTCGCCGCCCAGGAAGCTCCTGAGGATCTCCTGGAGTGTGGGCAGAGCACTCTTGACAAGGCCGGGTTATATTTCCACCGGGCTCGGATGGCCTTTGAGAGTCAAGGCAGGGAAATGGCCCGGGTGCGGGCTGAATGCGACGCCCTTCTGAAGAATGCCAAAGGCAGGGCTGGGACGCTCCAAGAGAAGGCTGACGCCTATGATAAGCTCGTCCAGGAGAACGCTTCCCAGAAGGAACTCCTTCGGAAGCAGGAGGCCGAGCTTGTAGATCTTCGCAGCCGGCTGTGGGCTGTGGAACAGGCTAAGGTGGGGATCCGCCGTACGGGTGTGGATAATCATGTCCCCATCTATGAAGCCGATGTTTCGAAGATCAAGGAGTCTGGTTCCATCGAGTTCCAGAAGTCCAAAGCCTACACCGGTGCCATCCAGACCATGGCCAGGAAATTCCTTCCGAGGTTCGTCGGCGAGTTCTTGGCCACCTGCCCGGACCCTTATCTAGATGGTATCAAGCTGCTTCAGGCCACCCCCACTGGGGAGCGCTTCCTTGATGATCTTGCCGACGATACTTATCTCAAGGGTATGGTCGGCCTTGTGGCAGAGAACCTTCCTGTCTTTGAGCGTCACTTTGGGGCCCCTTTTGATCCTGCGGCAGCTGGCTTTGATTCCCTGATGGTGGACGCCCATAAGGGGGCCCTTGAACTGCTGAGGGAGCGTAAGGAGCGCGAAGAAGCTGAGGCCGGGGAAAAAACCAGGCAGGTCCCCTTTTCGGCCCCAACTCCTGACGCCGGCCAAACTTAACTCTCCGCTCATAGTCTGTACTTCACAATTATTTACACTGTAATTTTCATTACACATTGTACTTTCCGGTCATCAGTGCCGAAGAATAAAAATCATTATTTGCTCCATGTCTCCGTATCTCTCTGTTTTTTTTTTTTTTTTTTTTTTTTTTTTTTTTTTTTTTTTTTTTTTTTGGAGTCTTTTCATCAGTCTTTGTCCTTCTCTAGCTTCGTGGGTACTTGTCTCCTGGTTTCGTAGGAGACGTTCGCCATCCCCGCCTCGAGAAAGAGCAGGTTTATCCACGTCGGGATTCCCTATCTCCGTTCGTCCCCAGCCGCGAACTACTAGTCTTCTGGCTTCGCAGAAGGCTTTCGTCATGCGCTCATCAGGGGGAAGAACTAGGCTTCGTTCGTCCTTGTCGTGGTCCTACTAATCTTCTTTCCTCGAAGAAGACGTTCGGTCATCCAACGATCGCAAGGAGGTCACTGGTTTATCCACGTCGGGATTCCCTGCTTCGTCGCCCCATATCCGTGGCCCTACTAACCTTCTGCTTCGGCAGAAAGGTGTTCACCGGCCTACGGGCCATGGGGGAACTGGTTTATCCTGCCGAGGTTCCCTTTGGTACGTCCAGCCCCCCCCACGTTCCTACTGACCTCCGCGTCGGGAGACGTTCGTCACGTGGTGAAGGAAGATCAGGCATACCTCGTCAAGACTCCCTCTCTCCTAGGAGCTTCTTTCTCCCCTTCTCCTCTCTCTCTTTTTTTTTTTTTTTTTTTTTTTTTTTTTTTTTTTTTTTTTTTTTTTGAGGAGGAAATCATTTCAACAGCACTTCGGCTTTTAATCTCCCTGTAGGAAGTGAAGAACAGAAATAATTCTTTTAATATAGAGATGACGATAGGTGATGTTACATGGTACTTCGACCAAAATATTACAACGATCTATCTCTAATTATTGGTAGAACTTCTTCAAGTGTTCGACATTCCAAATTCCAGCGTGGTTCCCCTCCAATGTGTGGAGAAGGAACGTCCCCTGGTTGTATCTTCTCATGACCCTGTACGGCCCCTCCCAGTTTTTGGCCATTTTGCCTCCTTCGAGCGGCCTGCTTTTCTCCCTTTTTCTGAGTACGAGGTCCCCTGCTTCAATCTCGCGGATCTTCACCGCCTTGTTGAAGTATCTTTGGGTGGCTCGGTGATATTCCTCCATGCGACGAGCTGCTAGGTCTCTTCGCTCCTCAATGAAATGGAGTTCCGCCCGTAGGTTTGCCTCGTTGTCTTTTGGTTGGAAGTGTTTCGTGCGATGCGTGGGCACCAGCACCTCTGTTGGTACTTTGGCCTGGAATCCGTACGCCAAAGCAAAAGGTGTCTCGCCGGTTGCCGTCCGTGGGGTTGTTCTGTACGTCCAGAGCACGTAATTGAGCTGCTCCGGCCAGGTGGATGCGTAATCTTCCAATTTCTTTTTAATTCCATCCATGATGGTCCTGTTCATGTTTTCCACCTGGCCGTTGGCCTGCGGGTAGGCCACCGAGGCCTTGGAGTGCCTGATGCCCCACTTCGCCAGGTATGCCTCAAATCCCCTGCCGACGAACTGCCGGCCATTGTCGGTGATGACCTGTTCTGGAATCCCAAAGCGGCATATAACATTCTGCCAGAGGAACCTCTGACATTGATATTCGGTGATGGAGGCCAGCGGCTCGGCTTCTACCCACTTGGTGAAGTAGTCAATCGCCACAATAACAAACTTCCTTCCGCCGGTCGTCGTCGGAAGAGGACCCAGTAGATCTATGCCCCATCTGGCGAAGGGTAATGCAATCGTCATCGGGGTGTAGAAGCTTGCCGGTCGACCGGGGACAGGGGCATATTGCTGACATACCGCACACCTCCGAGTGTGGTTGAAGCAGTCCTGCTGGATGGTCGGCCAGTAATACCCCTGCAAGATGATCTTCCGAGCCAAAGTACGAGGGCCTTGGTGACTGGAACAGATGCCTTCATGTATCTCCTCAATGACAGCCGCTGCCAAGCTCGGTGGGAGGCACCTCAAGTATGGCCCTCCGAACGTCTTCTTGTAGAGCTGCCCATCAATGAGCTCGAAGTTGGGGGCCCTCCTCTTTATCCATGCTGCTCGTCCGGTGCTGCCATCATCCTCAGGCTCGGGGAGCGTCCCATCCCTGAGGTAGTCTGCGATCTCCTTCGACCAATTAGGTTCGGCGATGGAGATGGCTTCTACCCGGATGACGTCCGTCGCCGGTGTCAGGAGCGTCTCCTGCCTGACGAAGCCCTTGATGTGCCGGGGGATGCTCGTTGTGGGGTCATCGCTTGGGGGGTTGCCTAGCTTGGATAATATATCAGCCTCGGCGTTCTCCACCCGCGATACCTGCTCAATTATCACCTGTTCGAACTGCGCGGTTTGTTCCTCCGCGAGCTCCTTGTAAATCTTCATCCTTTCTTCCCTGGTTTCGGCCGTCCCATTCATCTGGGTTACCACCAGTTGACTGTCCATCCTTACCTTGAGACGAGCTGCGCCGAGTGCCTTTGCACACTTCAGTCCCGCAATTAGCGCCTCGTATTCAGCCTCGTTATTGGTGACTTTGAATTCAAACTTCATGGAGTAGTAGGCTTTGAAACCTTCAGGTGAGGTAATCACTGCTCCCCCACCACAACCTTTCGCACTCGAGGCCCCATCGGTGTACATCTCCCACCAGTTGTTGAAATCATTGTCGCCTTGGGGATCGTCCTCGGCGCGGGCGGTGCACTCGGCAATGAAGTCTGCCAGCGCCTGCCCCTTGATCGTCGGCCTTGGTTTGAACTCAATGTTGTATTGGCCGAGCATTAGGGACCATTTGGTTATCCTCCCGCTGGCCATGGGGTTCCGGAGGATCGTGGCGAGAGGCTGCGTCGTGTATACAGTCACTGGGTGTGCCTGGAAGTACGGGGCCAGGCGTTTGACAGATGCTATCAAAGCGAGGATCGTCTTTTCCATCAGTGTATATCTGGTCTCCGGACCGTTCAGCGCCTTGCTCACGAAATAGATTGGTCGCTGAACGCCCTCCGCCTCCTTGAGTAGCACAGCACTCACAGCCAAGTCCGCCACTGCCAAGTACATGTATAGCTGCTCCCCGGGGTCCGCCTTGGCGAGGACGAGCGGAGAAGAGAGGTATATCTTGAAATCTTCGAAGGCAGCCTGGCATTCTGGTGTCCACTCGAAGGGATTTGCCTTCTTCATGATCTGAAAGAAAGGAATGGCCTTATCTGCCAGTTTCGACATGAACCGGCTCAGGGCTGCCAGTCTTCCGGTGAGGCGCTGCACGTCCTTCAGGTTCCTGGGGGCCTCCATGTCAACTATTGCCTTTACCTTCTCCGGGTTAGGTTCGATCCCTCGCTCACTCATCATGTAGCCGAGGAACTTGCCGCCCTTGACGGCGAAGGCACACTTCTTTGGATTTAATCTCATGCTAGCCTCCTCCATGATGGTGAAGATCCTCTCCATATCCCGGACGTGGTCCCCCCTCTTCTTACTCTTGATCAGGATGTCATCCACGTAAGCTTCCATTGTCTTTCCCAGCACGTCTTTGAACAACATCCCGATCATTCGCTGGAAGGTGGCCATGGCATTCCTCAGGCCGAACGGCATGACCACATAACAGTATACGCCCTCCGCTGTGACGAACGCCGTTTTTTCTGCATCATCAGGATGCATGAGCACCTGGTGGTAGCCCCTGAATGCATCCATGAAGCTGAGCAGCTCGCAGCCCGCCGTTTCATCTACGAGCAAGTCGATCCTTGGCACTGGATACGGATCCATCGGGCAGGCCTTGTTGAGGTCCGAGTAGTCGACGCACATCCGCCATGTGTCGCCTTTTGGGGCTAATACTACATTGGCCAACCACTCCACGTGGATGACCGGCCGGATGTGCTTGATGCTGAGGAGCGTAGCCGCCTCCCTTTTGATGAACTCTCGCCGTTCGGCTGCCATGTATCTCTTCTTCTGCTGTACGGGCTTAGCATCCGGCCGTACGGCGAGTCTGTGGCAGATGAGGTTGGGGTCTATTCCGGGCATGTCCTCCGGCCCTCTGGCAAATAGGATTTTGAACTTCCGGAGGACAGCTATGACCCCTTCCTTGATCTCGGGTTCGAGGTCGGCGCCGATGGACACTTTTCTGTCCGAAGGCTCATCCAGCTCCACCTCTTCGAGCAGTGCAGCCGGTTCCAGACGAGCGTCGAAGTCAGCTTGCCTGGCTTTCTCAGTGATGCTGTTGACCCGGGCTTCCCGTTCTCTGAACCTCTCCATGGCCTTGGTGTAGCAGGCCCTGGCCATGTGCGGATCCGTGCGGGCGACCCCCACACCTGTCTCGGTGGGGAATTTGATGCATGAGTGCCGCACGGAGCAGATGGCCTCCAGATCCTCCAAACCGGGCCGGCCCAAAATTGCGTTGTGAGCACATTTTAGGCGGACCACGACGAACGTCATCCGGATGCGGGTGGTGTGAGGTCCATCCCCGATCTCGACAGGGAGGCCGATGGTACCCTCCGCATCGATGCAGTCCCCTGTGAAGCCGGAAAGAGGGGTACGTAGAGGGGCCAGCTGGTCCTTCCTCAGCTTCATCCCCTCGAATGCCTCCCAGTAGAGGACGTTCACGCTGCTGCCCGTATCCACAAGGACGCGTCGGACGATCGCATCGTTGACATCCATGCTGATCACCAGCTCATCCCTGTGGGGGGCCGGTGACATTGGTAGGTCGGCTGGTCCGAAGGTGATGGCCTCTACCTTGTTCTTCTTGGCGGAGGGTGCTGATACAGAGCCCACATAGAGGGACCTTTCGAACCTCTTCCGTTCCGCAGGCGTGTCCCCAGTCTCAGCGCCCCCGAAGATCACTTTGATCTCCAACTTCTTCTTTCCGCCGTTCGGGCCGAGGGACCCCTCCGGACGTTTATCAGCACTCCGATAGTCTACGTCCTTAGGTTCCGCCTCGCGCTGGTCGTCGCGGCGCCATGATCGTGATCTCGGGTTCGGCTGCCTCGGGCTATTCTTCTTTAGCAGCTGGGTGAACTCGCCCAGGTAGCCTTGCCGGATCAGCTCGTCGATGGCCGTTCTCAGTTGCCTGCAGTTGTCGGTGAGGTGGCCGACCCTCTGGTGGTATTCACAATATGCG